GAAAATAATTTTTCATGTCCTCACTGACCCAAAAAAAACATATTTGTAAACGTGGAGATGGATCATTGCCTGGTATAAATATCGTAACATTCATAATAGTCAAGGATGTGTGACAAAAGTGTGCTGTGGTTTATTTAATAAGCCTTGTTTGTAAAACATGCTATGAGTAAGAGCTAAGACGACCAGGTACAGTACATTGGTTGTACTCTATGACATCATTCTACCGTGGAGAGAGAAAAATTTACAGTATTTCTTAATGAACTGTGACTTAGAGCCAACACAGGCAAACACTAATATTGATGTCATGTGCAGAAATGCGTTTCTTTGATAGAATTAGCCTGAATGGTCGATGTCATTGAATGCTGTGCTGAAGTCAATAAGCAGCAACGCAACAATGGGCACGGCCCATGCATCTGGTGCGGCAGAAATCAGTGAAGTGTTTGGAATTCCAAGCAGAACTGTTTCAGTGTTGTGGTGTTTGCAGAAGCAAGGTTAAGTCTTCTGAAAATGTTTGATGTTACTATTTGCCTGTAAAGTTTGGTCTACCATGACCTTTTCAAGATGTTTTATCTGTGGGCAACACACTGCAGACGCCACCAATAGATCTCAGTCAAGGACGAGGAGTTTTAGCTTCTTCTTTCCTACTGAATTCAGAACTAGTTTAGTTTTCTTTCTCTTCAAGGGATAATATCAAGAGGAGCCGCTGAGCCACCACGTGTAGCGGTGCTCTCTGAATATAATGCAGTGACTGTGACGAAAAACCAGTCTACAAACCCAGAAAAACATTAAGCTGTAATAATAAAAAGTTATAAAAAAAAAAACCAATTTCTTCCCAGTACTTTTCCTAAAAATATTCAAAAATGAAAATGTTTGAACTGCATTTATCAATCACCAGTCAAATACTAAAGTAAAGGGACATTAATAGAACAGTTTTAATTCTTTTTTTTAAATTTAAAGTATATGTAGTTGTAGTCAGGAGAGGTAAGATACCATGTTATTCACTCCCAGCCAGCTTTTGTATGATATCGATATAAACGTGGTGGTCTGAGCAGGGGTGAAACCAGACTTAAAGCTGGGACTCAAACATAGACCAGGGACAGGTTTGGACTGTATAAAACATAATAATAACATAAAAAAACAATTAATAATTTAAAAACATATCAAATCAAGATGAGTTCCAGTTTAGGTTTTGTGCAAAAATATATTCAAAGTACTGAGTGCCACATTTGAATCATCAAAATTATAATAAACAAAAACCAATGGAATAAAAACAGGTCATTTGCAGCTCTACCACAATGCACAGTGGAGAACAGGTTCAAAACCAGGTCAATAAAACTGATTTTTGTTACTGTTCGGTATTTGTTTATTTTTTATTTTTAAGACAGCGCACATGGAGAAGTCTGTGAGTTACATATTACTATAACTTTCACTATGATTTATTTGATTTTATTTATTGCTTTTATTATTAAAGTAAGTTTTAATCTAGTCATTGTACTTGTATAAATCTTTAGCTTACTTAACTTGTTTGTTCGGTGTCACAACTGATCGTAAAAAACTCATTCCATATTTACTGCAGCTTCTCATCATGTTACAGACACTATGGTCAAAGTGCGGTTTCCTATACATTCACTACATGCTGCAGTAGTTGTTGGTTTTTCTGATTATGTCTGGTGGCAAGTGGCATTGGAGGAAGTGGTGTTGGAGCCAATCAGAGTTCAGCAGTGGACTCCACCCGTAGACCTACATCTGCCACCACTCCTGGCCCTTAGGTTTACAAGTGGTGTTGGTTTTTGAATGCTGTAGTTAAATCCAGACAGACTCCTTTAAAAGTTCTATATCAGGATGCAGAACACCTCAAAACCCCAGGGTGCAGAATTTAAGAGAGTAATCATTTTTTGACTCGGTTTGTCCTCCACATTGTTTTTAAGACTTTTCAATATTTGACACGCAACACGGACGGCGCTAATATTTCCTATTTAGTTTTTTTTTTTTAACACAAAACGTATTTCTCTAATATATTTTCAGGAACGTTACACAACTGATGACACTGTGGAAACATTTAAATGAATCAAAAGCTAATGAGCTACATCATTCCATTTTGCCGAGCGGCGACATTGCCGGCCACATCTGTGGAAGGATTTATGTCTTCATCTCACAGTCTAACGGTTTGACTCTAACCCAATAGCGCTGCGGGAGGGTGAGCACAACAGGGGAAGGAAAATGGAGATACGGTCACATGGTCGCAATGATTATCATGTCGTAAAGGCTGAAGATTGCCATTCCCGGCATTCCATCCACGACTGCTTTAAGCATGAATTGTTTCATATTCAAACACGTGACTCCTTACATTGGCGGTTGTGTCCTCCACAGGCACCGCCATTCTGTGATTTCTTTTCTTCCTCCACCAAGTACAAGGGGAATAAGATTTCAACTCCCCTCTGAATAATGCAAATTCAGTGTGCATCATCCACAATGAGCCTCCAATCAGTAAAGCAGCTACAGTATAAGCAGGTGGCAGCTGTAAAATTGTCATTGCCTGAAGCAACAGATAGACTGCACAGCAGTAAACAAGCAATGTATTTCAATAAGTGAGTGAATGACAGTATGATGAGCTCAGGATCATTGTGGCCCATTAGTGTAAAAAATAGGCTTCAACAGGAAGTTATAATACATTGAAATGCATCACATTGATCCTGGATAACAGCATATAGAAGGACAGAGACAGAGAGTCCATCAGAGGACTGACAGAAGGGTTTTGTCCCATTAGGGTGACAGGAAACAACTAGATTTACAAACACCCCCCCACCCCCACAACGCCATTTTCTTTTTCTTTTTTTGAAATCATTTGTGTTTTCAATAACAAACATAACTATATATAATAAACTAAATTAAGCTAAGGCTTTGACTTTATTGTATAGAATTCTAGAAGCAAAGAAAAAAGTCTTGGGTATTTTGCAAACAGGCATGATTCTCGGCTCACTATATTGTCCTCAATTGTTTCAATTGAAAAAAAATACAATGTTTCACAGCACAAGATAGCAAAGAATGTGGGCTTGTCACCATCTGCGGCTGAAAACTTTGTGAAAAGGTTAGGAGGAATCCTCTGCTGGATGTTTGAGCTCTAAGCCCTTCGACGCTGCTGCATTACAAAAGGCCAAGCCACACCGGCTCAGGACTACTTCAGGAAGTCATTGTCTCCTGACACAGTCCACCACTCCACCAGGAAATGCTCCCTGAGTCTAATTCATAGCAGGAGGAAGAGAAACATCAGTTTGGTGCCAGCTCGCACACAAGATCTGTGGACCAGAACTTATCTCAGCGATTTTCTGTGGTCAGGTGCCTCCATGCCTCAGCTCGTCTTCATGAGAAATAGACAGTGGATAAAATAAATACATATATATTATTTTTTCTTAAAGGTAGATGCCAGGGATTATCCAGAAATGTTGCAATACCAACATCTTTGATAGTACTGCGGGTGTCCATATGGCATAGGGTATCTGTACATAAAGTACAGGTACTGTTACCACACACTACACCAGGGGTGACAAACTCGATTATGCTGAAATTTAAAACTAAGCTGTGGGCCAAACAGGGTTATAAATTTATTGGATGCGGGACACAAAATCAAAGTACATTATGAAGAGTTGTGTTTTTGGTAAACAAATATAAACGTACGCTTGATTAGAATTGGAATTTAAAAAAGAAGAATTGAGTGTGTTGCCTGGCCTACCTGCAGTACAGGAGGATCACAGTGTACTCAAAAATTGTACACAGTTGATAAACGTGTTGTTATTTACACACACTGCTGGAAATACTTTTTATTTCCTTAATGGATCTCAAGCTTAAAACACCATCTCAACACCCAGTACATTGTAGAATGGTAAAATATAAAAAATATATATATAAAGTATGTACCGTTTAACGTACACAATGAGGTGTACGTTTTCTCGGAACGCTGCAGTTCTTCGCTCTGGGAACACTTTTCTCGGAACGCTGCAGTTCTTCGCTATAATTTTTCAACTGAAAGGAAAGACACTAAGGTGACATTTAGAGTTGTCAATCCAATCGCAGACGTGGGAGGTACTCCAGATAGAGGCACAAATGAAACAAAGCCGTGATACATCATCACTTCACACTTCGAAAATTCAACATGTACGGCTGCAGCGTTCTGAATGATACGTTTAGACGGAAGGCGTGCATGAGCGAGTTATTGTGATATCTGAGTCAATTTCTTTCACTAATGAAGATGTGGTTGAAAGCTGAAACTTCATTTGATTTCACTCTGTCAAACATAATAACAGGACTAAGATTTCAATTGCACAATAACAGTAACACGATTGTATTTTTAATAAGACGGACTGTAGTAGTAATACATCTCTCTCTCATTTATGTGGGCTGGGTGGCAATATTTTGCTTTCCATTATAGACAATACAAACTGATTTATGTTTGGACTTTACCAAAAGGTATTATATTGATTGAAAAAAACGTAATAGAAAACATTGTGCAGTGTTTATAATTCCACTGAGATGATGTTCAGGAAATAGAGAAAAAAAAATGTGATGAAGAGGCAGAGGGATATTTGCCTTGTAGCTACAACAGGCTTTAAAAAAAAACTGCATTTAATTTATTCTTTCTCCTCCAGAAAATAAATACAACTCTGTAAAAATGTCACTCTAAAATTGAGTATGTTGGTCTACAAAGTTCAGGTTGGAACAGAGAGGTAAATAGAAAAGCTTTTTACAAAACAAACTGCATTCTGTCTGATAAGGTTTTGACTTGAAATGTGTCCCAAACAAAAGTGGAGTCGAATGTTTGGTTTGGGCTTTAACTATCGATCAACTCATTTGCCGGATTTTTATAGTAGCCTCAGTCTGTATGCCGGTTTAAAAAGACAAACGGCAGGTGAAGAAATCAACAACA